ATATTTAGCTGCTTTGTAGCCGCTGCGGTCCCCCTCCCTGAAAGCAGACTCCTTTGCTTTCCTGAGCTGCCGGAGTTTAGCAGTGAACCAGGGTTTGTCGTTGTTATAGATGACCCTGGTCCTTGTTGGAATGATGCTATCCTCACAGAAGTGAATGTATGACGTCACAGTGTCCGTGTATTCATCCAAACTATCTGTGGCAGCTCTGAAAAGGTCCCAGTCTGTAGATTCCATGCATGCGCGCAGCTCTTCCACAGCTTCATCAGACCACACTTTGGAGCTCCTCATTGCAGGTTTCGAGAGCTTTAGTCTCTGTCTGTAAGCAGGAACCAGATGTATCATGGAGTGATCTGAGAAGCCGAGGGCTGGCTTGGGAACAGCGCGAAAAGCTCCGCGCACGGTGGTGTAACAGTGATCCAGAGTGTTCTCCTCTCTGGTCGGGCATTTGATAAACTGTCTGTATTTGGGTAATTCCTGGCTCAAGTTTCCCTTATTAAAATCCCCCAGGATAATAATCAGAGAGTCCGGGTATAAACGTTCCATACACAGTACTTGCTCTGCGTCCGCGCATGGCGGTATGTAAACAGAGGCAAGAATGAATGAAACAATTTTGCGCGGGGAGTAATATGGTTTACAATGAATGAAAAGATATTCCAGAGCAGGAGAGCAGTGCTTGGAGATCACTGTCACATCGTTACACCAGTTTGTATTGACGTAGAAACACAGCCCACCGCCTCTGCTCTTCGCTGAGAGCGCACAATGACGATCCCCGCGGAACAGCCCAAAGCCCTGCAGCTCCAGAGCACAGTCCGGGATCCGCTCATTTAGCCAGGTCTCAGTGAAGCAGAGGACACAGAGGACACCAGGTCTCAGTGAAGCAGAGGACACAGAGGACACCAGGTCTCAGTGAAGCAGAGGACACAGAGGACACCAGGTCTCAGTGAAGCAGAGGACACAGAGGACGCCAGGTCTCAGTGAAGCAGAGGACACAGAGGACACCAGGTCTCAGTGAAGCAGAGGACACAGAGGACACCAGGTCTCAGTGAAGCAGAGGACACAGAGGACACCAGGTCTCAGTGAAGCAGAGGACACAGAGGACACCAGGTCTCAGTGAAGCAGAGGACACAGGATGAAGTCCTTGTTTCTTCTCATGAGCAGGCTGAGTTCGTCTTATTGCCCAGTGAGCGTACGTTGGACAGAAAAATGCCGGGGAGAGGCTCCTCTCCTCCTCAGACGCACGAGCAGCCTCCGCGCTTTCCCCTTTTACGGGCCCACACTTTTTTGGCTAGAACATGTACTAAATCAGCCGCAGATGCCAAGAAAACAGGCAATAGGTCCATGGGAACGGTGGGTCGGATGTTCATAAGTTCCTCACGGGTGTAGGAACAGCCAGATGCACAGTTAAAAAGTAAAAACAAAAGAAAGAGAGAGCAGCAAAGAGCCATGTCGACCGTACGAGGCGCCATCTTTGTATGAATTGCATTGGCTAATTCTTATTCCGGGTCCACCCCCACAGGCTCGGGGTGGTACTGCAGCATGTCAGCGCACGTCATTTTGGCCACTTTTGAGCCGGGACCCGCCCACACTGGTCCAAATGTATGTGCGGGAAGAGGAGGCCAGAGCAGGCAGAGAATTCACACTTTTCTCTCTTCACGGGTGAGTGAAGCGTATCCGAGCTGTCCCACTCTGAGGCTGGATCTGGAACAGTCTCCATGGGAACGGGGAGAAGCCACCGACACCAACTATAGCGTTTTACTGCCGCAGCGTCTCCGTCTAAACAGGGCCTTAGTGTGACAAGTAAAGTTCTCCAGTGTGAGATCAATAAAGTCTATCTTTTCTTATTTTAGAGCTCAGAGGAGATAATGCAGCTTCACCAACTTTACAAATATAACGTGTATAACTTGTGTGACTGTGAAGTTTTGGAAATAAAGAATTGAAAATATAATAGAACCACCTTTATTTGTCTCACAGTAAAGGTGTTAGGGCGGCACGGAGGCTGACCCCTGACCCCTGACCTCTGACCTCTCTGTGTCCCTGACCTCCTACTATCTACGCTCGGACTATCTACGCTCGGACTATCTACGCTCGGACTATCTACGCTCGGACTATCTATGCTCGGACTATCTGCGCTCGGACTATCTACGCTCGGACTATCTACGCTCGGACTATCTACGCTCGGACTATCTATGCTCGGACTATCTGCGCTCGGACTATCTCTACTCGGACTATCTACGCTCGGACCACATTCAGACGTGAAACTAGCGTTAATCTTTCAGTTATATATGTTGTTAGCAGTGCGTTGTTTTGTACCATTTCATCAGTGATTGTTGTACAGTTTACGTTGCGCTAATGCTAATGTTAGCATATGTATCAGGTCGCTAATAAAACTAGATGGCTCCGTGGGAGGAGAGCGTAGGGGACATGAGAAGCCTGTGAGCGAGTTGGGGGCGGGGCTAAACATTCAAACCTGCAGAAACAGGTGTAGCTCCTTAAACGATAACATTAGTTTCCAATAGAAGTTTATAAGTTTATAGTGTGTGGAATGGCTGCATGTACGTGTCAGGTCTGTAGTAAATCTGATAAACGTGTCCCCAGACGCTGGTGCTTGTCTGCGTTAGAGCGATGAGTGTTTGTGTGAATGTATTGTTCAGTGACGGGTCTTCAGCCCGAGGGTTGTATAAGAACGAAGATCATGTGTCTCTGAGCTCGGATTAACTGCTCCTTTAAATAAACACATTTCTGTCTCAATCTTTAATAAAACCAGAGGCGGAGACGAAAAAAACATTCTTCAAGACCGACGCATTTGTGACAGGGAGTGTCTGTCTCTGGTCTCTCTCTGGTCTCTCTTTCTGGTCTCTCTCTGGTCTCTCTCTGGTCTCTCTCTGGTCTCTCTCTCTGGTCTCTCTCTCTGGTCTCTCGCTGGTCTCTCTCTCTGGTCTCTCTCTCTGGTCTCTCTCTCTGGTCTCTCTCTGGTCTCTCTCTCTGGTCTCTCTCTCTGGTCTCTCTCTGGTCTCTCTCTCTGGTCTCTCTCTCTGGTCTCTCTCTGGTCTCTCTCTGGTCTCTCTCTGGTCTCTCTCTGGTCTCTCTCTGGACTCTCTCTAGTCTCTCTCCGGTCTCTCTCTGGTCTCTCTCTGGTCTCTCTCTGGTCTCTCTCTCTGGTCTCTCTCTCTGGTCTCTCTCTGGTCTCTCTCTCTGGTCTCTCTCTCTGGTCTCTCTCTGGTCTCTCTCTCTGGTCTCTCTCTCTGGTCTCTCTCTGGTCTCTCTCTCTGGTCTCTCTCTCTGGTCTCTCTCTGGTCTCTCTCTGGTCTCTCTCTGGTCTCTCTCTGGTCTCTCTCTGGTCTCTCTCTGGACTCTCTCTAGTCTCTCTCCGGTCTCTCTCTGGTCTCTCTCTGGTCTCTCTCTGGTCTCTCTCTCTGGTCTCTCTCTGGTCTCTCTCTCTGGTCTCTCTCTCTGGTCTCTCTCTGGTCTCTCTCTGGTCTCTCTCTCTGGTCTCTCTCTGGTCTCTCTCTCTGGTCTCTCTCTGATCTCTCTCTCTGGTCTCTCTCTCTGGTCTCTCTCTGGTCTCTCTCTGGTCTCTCTCTGGTCTCTCTCTCTGGTCTCTCTCTGGTCTCTCTCTGGTCTCTCTCTGGTCTCTCTCTCTGGTCTCTCTCTCTGGTCTCTCTCTGGTCTCTCTCTCTGGTCTCTCTCTGGTCTCTCTCTGGTCTCTCTCTGGTCTCTCTCTGGTCTCTCTCTGGACTCTCTCTAGTCTCTCTCTCTGGTCTCTCTCTCTGGTCTCTCTCTCTGGTCTCTCTCTCTGGTCTCTCTCTGGTCTCTCTCTGGTCTCTCTCTGGTCTCTCTCTGGTCTCTCTGGTCTCTCTGGTCTCTCTCTGGTCTCTCTCTGGTCTCTCTCTGGACTCTCTCTAGTCTCTCTCCGGTCTCTCTCCGGTCTCTCTCTGGTCTCTCTCTGGTCTCTCTCTCTGGTCTCTCTCTCTGGTCTCTCTCTCTGGTCTCTCTCTCTGGTCTCTCTCTCTGGTCTCTCTCTGGTCTCTTTCTGGTCTCTCTCTCTGGTCTCTCTCTCTGGTCTCTCTCTGGTCTCTCTCTCTGGTCTCTCTCTGGTCTCTCTCTGGTCTCTCTCTGGTCTCTCTCTGGTCTCTCTCTGGTCTCTCCCTTGTCTCTCTCTGGTCTCTCTCTCTGGTCTCTCTTTGGTCTCTCCCTTGTCTCTCCCTTGTCTCTCTCTGGTCTCTCCCTTGTCTCTCCCTTGTCTCTCTCTGGTCTCTCCCTTGTCTCTCTCTGGTCTCTCCCTTGTCTCTCTCTTGTCTCTCTCTGGTCTCTCCCTTGTCTCTCCCTTGTCTCTCTCTGGTCTCTCCCTTGTCTCTCCCTTGTCTCTCTCTGGTCTCTCCCTTGTCTCTCTCTGGTCTCTCCCTTGTCTCTCCCTTGTCTCTCTCTGGTCTCTCCCTTGTCTCTCTCTTGTCTCTCCCTTGTCTCTCCCTTGTCTCTCTCTGATCTCTCCCTTGTCTCTCTCTTGTCTCTCTCTGGTCTCTCCCTTGTCTCTCCCTTGTCTCTCTCTGGTCTCTCCCTTGTCTCTCCCTTGTCTCTCTCTTGTCTCTCTCTTGTCTCTCTCTTGTCTCTCTCTTGTCTCTCTCTGGCTCAAATCTGCAAACTCAGGTCAAGATACGGGATAGATTCTTAAATTTTTTATGCTTTGAAAGTTCCGTACCCCAGCTTTAACCCAGCTCTAACCTGTAGTCAGCCCCACGGTCGCCATTGCAGACTCATTTCTTTATTATATCCCATTTTACGATCGCAAACAAACTCCTCATTTGAACCAAAGGAAGACAGGAAATTGGTTCTTTCAGTAAAACACACAGACTATAGACCCGCCTCCTGATAACACACACATGAGATTAGCCCGGGTTTAAAGTCAGTCATTCATTCTTTGTACCGTGACTTAAAGGTCCTCTTGCTCTTCTGCGACGTCACGTTCAAACTATGAGACATTTTGGACGACTCCGCCTCCAGCATCACCTTTGTGGAGTCCATGGTGAGGCCCCAGCTGGTCCCTGCGCCACAAAGATAGAGGTGTGTCAAAAAACCATCATAAAAATTAGCAAACAGACGTCTAGTAATTAAACATTACTAAACGTTTATTAACATTCACAGGCGGCTCTATGAGTTTTTAAGTGTCAAGCAGAATAAGATAGTTATAAAGAGAAAGATAGGGTTTTTATTTTATTGTTTAAAGTAGCAGTATGTAAGATATTCATGTCAAGTCACCATTAAAGGGCCCTAATCTGTCATCATTAAAGGGCGCTAATCCGTCATCATTAAAGGGCGCTAATCCGTCATCATTAAAGGGCCTTAATCTGTCATTATTAAAGGGCGCTAATCCGTCATCATTAAAGGGCCCTAATCCGTCATCTTTAAAGGGCGCTAATCCGTCATAATTAAAGGGCCCTAATCTGTCATCATTAAAGGGCCCTAATCTGTCATCATTAAAGAGCCCTAATCTGTCATCATTAAAGGGCCCTAATCCGTCATCATTAAAGGGCCCTAATCCGTCATCATTAAACGGCGCTAATCCGTCATCATTAAAGGGCCCTAATCTGTCATCATTAAAGGGCCTTAATCTGTCATCATTAAAGGACCCTAATCTGTCATAATAATAAACTGCTCTTTTCCAATACTTCTTTAACTGATAACAGTAGTTCAGAGATATTGGAATTTCTAAATTACTTTTCCAGATACTGTACTTTTAAAGATACAGATACAGTACATAATAGTATTGTATCTATCTTGTGCTTACTTTGATGTTTTCTCCTGTAAAGTTTATTTTTATTTTTATTCATTCCTGCAGATCTGTGTCCCACGAGTTTATCTTATCCATTAGTTATTATTGTAAAACATGGACATACTTTTCCATTTATTTTCTGAGTTACAGCAAAATGCTAATTTCATTTTCCTCTCGCTCGAGCTCGGACGCGGAGCCATCAATCACAAGTCAAAACATATTGAGTCCACTGTCAATGATAACAGAGAAAACAGAAAATATTCAGATTTATAGATGTCCCCAACCCCTCTGTGTAACAATAATCATTCATCAAGAGAAGCTGGTCCTGCTGCCCACTCCTGCTGTCGTTAATCACGGCTTTGCTCTGGGGAAGTTACTCTGCCATTTCTGACAAAACAGATCTCATGCTCTCAGCACAATACAGTTTATTATTATTATTATTATTGTAAAGGATTCGACTCACTCTCTACGTTTACAAGGCCAAGGTGGAAAACATGTGTCAAAGAAGAAGGTGTTTTGGTTCTCCAGCACCAGAGTTCTACCAGAGTTCTACCAGACTTATATTCCTTCAGTGGAAGACGAAGTGAGATGGACGTAAACCATCGAAACATCCATCCATCCATTTCCTTCAGCTTCATCCGTCGCCAGGTTAGATAGATAGATAGATAGATAGATAGATAGTGAGAGAAATTCAAGGGGTCCAGTAGCAGCAAAATTACAACATAAAATTGATCATTCTAGCTAAAACTAGTAATAATCAGCATCAGTTCTTCAGGTCACAGCAGCAGAGGTGGCCTGTCCATCCAAACATGCAAAGGTGAAAACATACTAACTTACTATTGTCTGGTATAAAAGAAGCAAATCCCTTCATTTCTCCTAAGAAGACATGTCCTAAGAGTGTAAGGATGTATTTATTTTGGGACATTGCACACCAACATGGAACAAAACAAGCTTGTAACTAATGCAAAAAGAGTTTATAGCTATTGCTAATTTTCAACTCCAGGTTAATTTTGTCATGATCCTCCTGTGTTCTCCCCCTCCCCTTATGTTTGCGTGTGCGTGTGCGTGTGCGTGTGCGTGTGCGTGTCAATCTGGGAGCAGCCTCCACCAGCTGCACTCACTCACCACCTGCAATCCATTCACAATCTAGCTCTCCATATAAACCCGGCTCTTCCATCACTCTCTGCCAGTTCATCTGTTCACACCCGAGGTAACTTTACTTGTGGCTCTGTCCATCCATCCATCCATCCATCCATTTTCTTCCACTTTATCCGTTGCCGGGTCGCAGGGGCAGCAGTCTGCTTGTGGCTCTGGTTTTACCAAATCTTGTGATTTTGCTTTTTTTTTCAGTTCTTGTTTTTGTACCTGTTCCAGTGCTTTTTTTCACTATCTGTGCCTCTGGACCCAGCCCTGTTACATACCTGCCAGCACCCAGCCTCTGCACCCCTGGACCCCTCTGCCCAAACCCTCACTGATAATAAATTGTTTAATCTTCCATTGTGTCTGGTCGTGCTCTTGGGTTCTGCCTGTTCTAACAAATTTTGTCTTGATTTATGACTTTTTTTTTCTGCTTAGGATTTGGTTGAGAGACTTTAGATATGAGAACACACAACATACAATAAACTCAGCCAACGACTAGCACAACCCAAAGATAAATATTAACGACAAATGCAAAAATCATACTTGGGAGAAACAGATACTTCGAACGCCAGAGAGAATGAGGAAAAAGATCAACAGGAAAACTCACAAGGACAAAGTCATAAAAAGCAGAACGGGAACAAGTTAAATATAGATAGTTTCAAACCACTGCAAGAGAAATGACCACATTATGGATCGGGACAAGGCAAAGGGCGTTGGATCTGAAAGAGCAAGAAGAAGGTCACGCTGAACAGGAAGTGGGGCAACTGTACCATCAACCGGGATGAAGGAGCTTTACCCCTGTCACACACATGGGACTCCCTCTTCCAGAGACAACCAGGAAGTAACATCAGCGGATCAATCAATTAAAATGAATTTCTACAGCACAGTTTATACAGAATCTAACCCAATTTTAAAACCAACAGGCAGTCAATGAAAACACTATAAACACTTGATGATCCTCTGCCTGCTGATTATGAAGTATAAAAGTATAAAAAATGTTACATACTTTACAAAGAAGTGACCGAGGTGAGACTTGTCCAAAGTTGTAGTTTTTTAAGTTGTAGTTTTCTGGAACTGCTGCTTCGACCTCAGTCTGTGTCGATGTTGATGCTGCTCCGAGGGTCACACACAAAGACTGCTCCAACACAATACTCTGATAAATATAGCACTGACACATCCCCTCAGCACACACAGACAGACACACACACACACACACACACACACAGATTAGTATCACTAAATGAGCTCCCGAAACCACAGATACACACACATAGAGGGACGGACACACACACACGCTGATTGATGGATGGACACACACACATACCGTACATAGACAAACGGACACGCACACACACACATAGACGGACAGACACACACACACACTCATCGATGGAGGAATACACAGAAACACACTCAAACACACAAAGATATAAACACACACAGCATAACCTGATTCCCTTTCAGTAGAAGAAGACTAAGGCTCCCGTTCCCATGACGACCACAGCAAATAGCGACGGTGCTAAAGAATCAGAAACTCACTCAGATTCTCGCCAGAACTCTGAACATTGTGAAGCACTTTGGGAGACCTTGGGTTGTAAAATGCGCTATATAAATAAACATTACTTACTTACTGTAACTTTTAATAATAGTAACAATACCAGGAGCACATTTGGATTCATGTAAAACACAGAGATAAGCAGCTGTGGATGAACGGAAAGTGAAGCGTATTTAAACTATTCTTTATCATTCTCTCTTCAGCAGTTGTTAGTCCTCGTTGTACAGTCTGACAGCAGCTGGAAGGAAATACCCGCAAAACCTCTCCTTCATGGTTTGTAGACCGCTTACCATTCCGTTACTATGGCGTTACTATGCCGTTACCATGACGTTACTATGGCGTTACTATGCCGTTACCATGACGTTACTATGGCGTTACTATAACGTTACATGACGTTACTATGGCGTTACTATGCCGTTACCATGACGTTACTATGGCGTTACTATGCCGTTACATGACGTTACTATGGCGTTACTATGCCGTTACCATGACGTTACTATGGCGTTACTATGCCGTTACATGACGTTACTATGGCGTTACTATGCCGTTACCATGACGTTACTATGGCTTTACTATGGCGTAACCCTGGCGTTACTATAGTGTTACTATGGCGTTGCTTTGCCAGTTCTGAGGGGTGTCTAAAAGATCTTTCAACAATGACATTTTTTTTTTAACATTGTACATTTTTTTCAATTCAATATTTGTTTTTATATTTTGATCCTTATTATTATAACTTTTAATTTTGGTTCCATTTGATTTATTATTGTATTATAAGGATTGTTGAAGAATTTACATCTAAAACACAAATAATTATGTTGTAGGTTTGTTAAAAAAAGAAGGAGCTCAAGAAGAGGAGCCAAACCTTTTTGAAAATACGTTAAATGAACCTTTCCTGTGTGGCTTTCTGTCGTTTTTACATCGACTACGTTTTATTACAACAACAAACGCTAAAGGTCGGAGACTAATTAAGAAATATATTAATGTAAAGTACCATCAGGCTGTGAGAGAGTGGGGGGAGCAGGATCAGTCAACAAAAGAAGGGGTGTATTTATACCTCCTCTGCACCTGCCTCTGGAACATGAAACACAATACAACAGCGGCTGCCAACACAACTCCATCACACATGAGTGACACACTAAGAATAACACACAACTGAGCCCGGACTTTCACTGGGAACTGACCTGAGCGTCCGGGTCACAGCGAGAGAGAACAGGAAGTGGAAAGATATGATACGGAAAGTATGTGGTTGTATTGTAGTATATGTGTATTTGTACTGTATGTGTATATGTACTGTATATGTACTGTATGTGTATATGTACTGTATATGTACTGTATGTGTATATGTACTGTATGTGTACAGTATATGTACAGTATGTGTATATGTACTGTATGTGTATATGTACAGTATGTGTATATGTACAGTATGTGTATGTGTATATGTACTGTATGTGTATATGTACAGTATGTGTATGTGTATATGTACTGTGTGTGTATATGTACAGTATGTGTATATGTACTGTATGTGTACATGTACAGTATGTGTATATGTACAGTATGTGTACAGTATGTGTATATGTACTGTATGTGTATGTGTACTGTATGTGTATATGTACTGTATGTGTATGTGTACTGTATGTGTATGTGTACTGTATATGTACAGTATGTGTATGTGTACAGTATGTGTATATGTACAGTATGTGTATATGTACTGTATGTGTATATGTACTGTATGTGTATATGTACTGTATGTGTATATGTACAGTATGTGTATATGTACTGTATGTGTATATGTACAGTATGTGTATATAGAGAAGAGTACGGGTGGGAACCTAAGGGTACCTCTTGATACGATAAGATACACGATACAAAGCTCACGATAACGTGAATATCACGATATATTGGTCAGAAAAATACCATATGCAAATTTATGGCATAAATAAAAGAAAAATGTTAAGTGGAAAAATACACTTTATTTCATGATAAATGGAATGGAGATGTGTAATGTAGCCATATATTAAGTATTGATACTAATTAAAAAAAAAAAAACTAGAAAAAAAAGATAGGTTTTTTTTCAAAATCGATATCGATACTTGGCAAATGCTGGTCCAGTGTCTATGGTACACGCTGGTCCAGTGTCTATGGTACACGCTGGTCCAGTGTCTATGGTACACGCCGGTCCAGTATCTATGGTACACGCCGGTCCAGTGTCTATGGTACACGCTGGTCCAGTGTCTATGGTACACGCTGGTCCAGTGACTATGGTACACGCTGGTCCAGTGTCTATGGTACACGCTGGTCCAGTGTCTATGGTACACGCTGGTCCAGTGTCTATGGTACACGCCGGTCCAGTATCTATGGTACACGCCGGTCCAGTGTCTATGGTACACGCTGGTCCAGTGTCTATGGTACACGCCGGTCCAGTGTCTATGGTACACGATGGTCCAGTATCTATGGTACACGCTGGTCCAGTATCTATGGTACACGCTGGTCCAGTGTCTATGGTACACGATGGTCCAGTACGATGGTCCAGTATCTATGGTACACGATGGTCCAGTGTCTATGGTACACGATGGTCCAGTGTCTATGGTACACGATGGTCCAGTGTCTATGGTACACGATGGTCCAGTGTCTATGGTACACGCTGGTCCAGTGTCTATGGTACACGCCGGTCCAGTATCTATGGTACACGCTGGTCCAGTATCTATGGTACACGCTGGTCCAGTGTCTATGGTACACGATGGTCCAGTACGATGGTCCAGTATCTATGGTACACGATGGTCCAGTGTCTATGGTACACGATGGTCCAGTGTCTATGGTACACGATGGTCCAGTGTCTATGGTACACGATGGTCCAGTGTCTATGGTACACGCTGGTCCAGTGTCTATGGTACACGCCGGTCCAGTATCTATGGTACACGCCGGTCCAGTGTCTATGGTACACGCCGGTCCAGTGTCTATGGTACACGCTGGTCCAGTATCTATGGTACACGCTGGTCCAGTGTCTATGGTACACGCCGGTCCAGTGTCTATGGTACACGATGGTCCAGTACGATGGTCCAGTATCTATGGTACACGATGGTCCAGTGTCTATGGTACACGATGGTCCAGTGTCTATGGTACACGATGGTCCAGTGTCTATGGTACACGATGGTCCAGTGTCTATGGTACACGCTGGTCCAGTGTCTATGGTACACGCCGGTCCAGTATCTATGGTACACGCCGGTCCAGTGTCTATGGTACACGCCGGTCCAGTGTCTATGGTACACGCTGGTCCAGTATCTATGGTACACGCTGGTCCAGTGTCTATGGTACACGCCGGTCCAGTGTCTATGGTACACGATGGTCCAGTATCTATGGTACACGATGGTCCAGTGTCTATGGTACACGATGGTCCAGTGTCTATGGTACACGATGGTCCAGTGTCTATGGTACACGATGGTCCAGTATCTATGGTACACGATGGTCCAGTGTCTATGGTACACGATGGTCCAGTGTCTATGGTACACGCTGGTCCAGTATCTATGGTACACGCTGGTCCAGTGTCTATGGTACACGCCGGTCCAGTGTCTATGGTACACGCCGGTCCAGTATCTATGGTACACGCCGGTCCAGTGTTTATGGTCCAGTGTCTATGGTACACGATGGTCCAGTGTCTATGGTACACGATGGTCCAGTGTCTATGGTACACGATGGTCCAGTGTCTATGGTACACGATGGTCCAGTGTCTATGGTACACGATGGTCCAGTATCTATGGTACACGATGGTCAGTCTATGGTACACGATGGTCCAGTGTCTATGGTACACGATGGTCCAGTATCTATGGTACACGCTGGTCCAGTATCTATGGTACACGCTGGTCCAGTGTCTATGGTACACGCTGGTCCAGTGTCTATGGTACACGCCGGTCCAGTATCTATGGTACACGCCGGTCCAGTGTCTATGGTACACGCCGGTCCAGTGTCTATGGTACACGCTGGTCCAGTATCTATGGTACACGCTGGTCCAGTGTCTATGGTACACGCCGGTCCAGTGTCTATGGTACACGATGGTCCAGTATCTATGGTACACGATGGTCCAGTGTCTATGGTACACGATGGTCCAGTGTCTATGGTACACGATGGTCCAGTGTCTATGGTACACGATGGTCCAGTATCTATGGTACACGATGGTCCAGTGTCTATGGTACACGATGGTCCAGTGTCTATGGTACACGCTGGTCCAGTATCTATGGTACACGCTGGTCCAGTATCTATGGTACACGATGGTCCAGTGTCTATGGTACACGATGGTCCAGTGTCTATGGTACACGATGGTCCAGTGTCTATGGTACAGTTTGGTGGAACATTCTGTATTTTTACTTATTTTCATCCCCTTTGTTAAACCATTTCTGGGTCGGGCAGAGTGGACATTGACATCCAAGGTCCTCCTGCAGGTGGGGGTCCGTCAGCGACAACTCAGCCCTGGTCTTTCAGCGGGGGCTTCAGGCAAAGTGGGGTCAAGGGGAAAAAAAACAATTATTTTATTTGAATTGTTTTTTCTTTTATTAGAATGATTTTATTTAAAGCTGGCAGACTTGTGTGTGTGAGTGTGTTACCACCAGGCCCTGAGACCAATGCTCAACAAGGCTACACGCACACAGATAACTACAGCTGAGGTGGGGATGGTGTGTTCAGGGTGATGAGCTGTGTTGCTTTTATGCCAAACATATCGTTTTGCATTGTGGCCAAAAAGTTTGATTTTGGTTTCATCTGACCAGAGCACCTTCTTCCACATGTTTGGTGTGTCTCCCAGGTGGCTTGTGGCAAACTTTAAACGAGACTTTTTATGGATATCTTTGAGAAATGGCTTTCTTCTTGCCACTCTTCCATAAAGGCCAGATTTGTGCAGTGCACGACTGATTGTTGTCCTATGGACAGACTCTCCCACCTCAGCTGTAGTTATCTGCAGTTCATCCAGAGTGATCATGGGCCTCTTGGCTGCATCTCTGATCAGTCTTCTCCTTGTTTGAGATGAAAGTTTGGAGGGACGGCCGGGTCTTGGTAGATTTGCAGTGGTCTGATACTCCTTCCATTTCAATATAATTGCTTGCACAGTGCTCCTTGAGATGTTTAAAGCTTGGGAAATCTTTTTGTATCCAAATCCGGCTTTAAACTTCTCCACAACAGTATCTCGGACCTGCCTGGTGTGTTCCTTTGTCTTCATGGTTCTCTCTGTGCTTTAAACAGAACCCTGAGACTATCAAAGAGCAGGTGCATTTATACGGAGACTTGATTACACACAGGTGCATTCTATTTATCATCATCAGTCATTTAGGACAACATTGGATCATTCAAAGATCCTCACTGAACTTCTGGACTGAGTTTGCTGCACTGAAAGTAAAGGGGCCGAATAATATTGCACGCCCCACTTTTCAGTTTTTTATTTGTTAAAAAAGTTTAAATTATCCAATAAATTTCGTTCCACTTTACGATTGTGTCCCACTTGTTGTTGATTCATGACAAAAAATTAAAATTTTATATCTTTATGTTTGAAGACTGAAATGTGGCGAAATGTTGAAAGGTTCAAGGGGGCCGAATACTTTCGCAAGGCACTGTAATGATCTAATAAACAGTATATAAATCTTGACTCTGATCCAAGAACCAACTGGGGACCATGGGACCACGGATGAAGATTAGCTTACATGCTAACTCTGGCTCATTTACGTGTTGAAGAAACAAGTTGATTAATGTGCACTGTCCCAACTCAAACACAGATATAAAAAAAGTTTTCAAAATACATAAACAGATTTTTATCGACTTTACTTTTATCCATGTTTTTTATACTCTGTGTCTGTATCTAGGGCAGAATCTAGGCCAGGTGATCACATGACACTTATGGACATGTCATGGTGTCATTCAGGCCCAGGAGAACAAAACAAACAATGAAACCAAAGTTACGCCCAAAGTAAACCTGATACTTTCACGAGGCGTCGCTGAACGCACTGGAGTCGGATTTTTACACAAACTTCCTCAGGGTCAGAGAGAAAGAGGAATGAACTGGAAAACAAGCTCATGCTAACTGTTCATCAATGGAATTATTTGATGATATTTCCTGATTATTTATGATTTAATATTAGACAAAATACTTGTTATCAACACTGGCCATGATTGATATTGTTTACATAATCGCACACTTCTTGTTCTGGCCGCATTTCCCTTTACATTAAACAAACCTTCACCGGGATAGAAAAATATTACAATGAAAAATGTAGAAGAATATTTATTTATATAGCACATTACATACAAGTCAATGTTAACAACGCGTGACTTTGCACCGAACAAAGTACACAACAAACAGGCAGAAAAAAATAGTTTTTACTTTTTTGTTAATGGACTTTACGCCTGACCAGGTTTTATTACAAAGCTACATATTGTGGAGGTATCGACAGAATAAAATAAACATAGATACATGAGATTAATGAGTTTTCTCTGGTCAAAGCTTAAAATAGTATTTATATAGTATTATACTGGACATAAAAAAGGCAGATTCCTGGGAAATCTTTGTTAAAGTCACGTCGCCGTAGTGACGTAGCTAACGTTGCTAAAGTGATAATCTATGACACATTCAGTTTGAAATCTTACCATTAAAACAGTCTCTGTCTCTTTTCTCAACTTTAGCGTGGGTCACAACCAGTGTGGGCGGGTCCCGGCTTCAAAAGCTTGCCGTGCTGACATGCTGCAATCTCACTCCTTGGTGGTGGGGGTGTACCCGGAAAGAGAATCACCCAATGCTTTTGTATGGCGTCTTCCTTACAGGATGGTCCAAGTCTCTCTTGGAATTGTTTCCAGATGCTGTCGATGTTGAGGGGAGTATATTTCTTTTGAAACCAGTCTAGTTTAGCCGCTGTGGACTTTTGAATGCACTCGTTAAATGGATGGGGCTTGTGCAAACACATGCACTAATGCGGTTTTTCCACATTTTCCTGTGGGAGGGGCTGCTTGCGGTCTTTTTGAATCTGCCCATGTTTTTGGCACATAGATTTCAACGGAGGAAAGTCTATGATCACAACAATGGAATCCTTGGAGGTTGTGCTCAGGTTAGATCTATTCCAGTGCGCCCTGTGTAGCCATTTCTGACAGTGTTTAGAGGCCGAGCTACATTTTCATAAGGCAAATAAATCACAACATTAGTTTTCTACTTAACAAAACCGTTGAAATCACCAACACAGATCAGAGAATCAAGCATTTCAAACACAAAGAATATAGAACACATGGTATTGGACCATAGGGAGAGACCAATGTCCATAAACGTTGTAGAATGTTAGTTTCCTGGATCATCAAGAAAACAGGTTACAGTTATTGCACTCATTTAGTTTATACTGGTAAAAAATATTGTTTGATATAATATTGTATCCCTGATTATCTGGTCGTTTTGAATGTAGGGAACCAATGGAGAGAATATATAATAATAACACATTTCTCAAACATGCATCAATCTCACACATCAACAACATTGTAAATCACATGGTTAAATATAAAATGTCTATTTAGCAATTTATGTGCTTTTAAATCTTACCGCTTTTCAGTCAAACTATAAAAATACACAACGGCACTTTGGCTGGATTACTGTCAATCTGTCAATCCCCAAAACACATCCTTCCTTTCCCTTTAGTCTTAATCAGATTGGAATTTTCGTTGATTTTCCGGGACCATCATCAAGAATACTTCAAGCTGCATAATTGTGGCATCATGTTCTGTTTGTAGGGCGTGTCGTAGATGCCACTGTCCTCACACGAAGAGTCTGGACTCGCAAAGTTCTGTTGATTTGACAAGTAGTGACTGTGGTCGTAGTCCGGAGTCAGAAGAGAGTTTTCGTCCGACACGGAACTCTCCAGACTCTGCAAAGACCCAAAGTTGGCGCCCAGGTCTGAGGAGAGCTTGAGGTAGGGGAGAAGTTGTTTTGTCTGAGGAGATACTATGGTCTCTGTTATTCCATTCATGGGTTGTAGAAGCATAGACAGAGTAAGCAAACCATTGCTGTCTCTTTGCGTAGGTAGCAGTAGCGTCTGCCCCTCAACGTCGTCATGAGAATCTACATCCGGTAATAGCGTTTGTGGCGACACTATAGCTCCACTTTGCGGAAACCCTGGTAATATCCACTCTTGACTTTCCTTAGTATCGCCCTGAAGCTGATGCAAATCTCCGTTCCCTTCGTCCTGGACCGTCACGCCTCCATAAACCACGGACGAACCAAAGCTGTCGTTCTGGTATCGTAGAGTTGGACTATGACGGTTGAACTCGTCAGGCCATGAGGAGAAGGAATGTGTGTGTCCATAGCCTGATTCCAGAGCAGAGGGAGCAGCGGCTATAGTCCGGGTGTTGGCGTATACCATCTTTTCTCTTTCTTGTTGGGTTAGGATTTCTGGTTTGGAAATGTGACCCTCTTCAGGATGCATCAGGAGTTGGTTTGGATCTTTCACATGTTGAGGTGAGAAGCCCTGAGGATAAAGAAAACAGACTTATTCCTCTTTAAACGGATTCTCCTGAGTTCAGTAACGACTGCTCTGGGATTGGAAGTTATCTAAGTTATTAATTGAGTATTATTCATTTGACAAGCTAATTTTCATCTGCCACATACACAAAAAGCAAGAACAGAAGGAAGAAAAACATTGTACTCAATTCAAGTCAATGTATTCGAGTACAGCACTAAATCCCAACCACAGTCGTCTCAGAGGACTTTACAAAGTTGTCGATTCGCCAAATTAGATCAGGAGAAAACAGTTTGAAAACAGGAATGATAAAAACACACATAGGTCTACAGGGAGCTTTTTTTTAAACCTTTATTTAACCAGGAAAGTCCCATTGAGATTAAGAACCTCTTTTTCAAGGGAGTCCTGGACAAAAGTAGTAGTTTGGGCAAGATCAACTCCCTAGTTTTCGAGTTGCAAAGACATTTTAAACATTTTCACCCAACCCCAACAACACTGTCCTCACCGACACTAGATCTGAAAACCAAAGTCTTCCATAATTTGAAAAAACTGGTACCTGGATCACACAAGAGACTCCAATTTCTACAAGTCAAAACCAAAAGGCTCTTACCCGGAGCGACTGTGGCCAGGTCTTCTTCATCTTCGTGACATAGGACTTTGCACAAACCACTGCAGCCGTGACCAGCAGCAGCAGCAGCACCGCGCTCAGAGTCACCCACGGCCACCAGGCCTCACCCGCTGTACACAGAAACATGTTCGGTATTTTTATTATTCATTTATTTGATCGGGAGTGTGCACAATCAACATGTGAAACACTACATTTATAGCCAAGGCTACTTTGCAATGTCTGTCCCTGGGAGGGCTTTTAACACAATTCAGAAAAGGACGAGGTCTATTTATGTTTCTCAGATACAACTTATTTATGCAAGTCCCCCCATACTTTAAAACATTAGCTAATAAAACCCCAACAGCTTTTTAAATACACTTATAATGGAGGCCATGACATGGGGTTCAGATGTTCTGGTTTGATTGTATTGTAGTATGTGTCTGAATGGAATGAAGGGGATTGGATTAATATCAGCTTTTTGCTTCGACCAATCCCGTTTCAAACCATGCACAAGTTTTTCTTGTTTTCCATTATTCAGTAAGTAATCTGTATTTATATAGTGCCTTTCACAGACCAGAGTCACTAAGCAGTTTACAGTTGTGGGCATTTGTCTCTCTCTCCACACAGAGATGGGAGCGGGGCCAGTACAGAAGACACATGCCAGGACCTATTGTGCATGTTTTTAGTGGTAGGGGAAACCGGAGCACCCGGAAGAAACCTACGCAGACACGGGGAGAACGTGCAAACTCCACGCACAAAGGCCCTGTTCTGACCGGGATTCAGGAACCCATGACCTTCCTGCTGAGAAGCGAGAGTGCTATCCTCTCAGCCACCGTATTTTTTCTTATAAAACATTATTTGTATCTCATGCATGTTTGAAATAAATAAATAACCAATAAATCTTAACTGTGCTGGGAAACCATGTGTGTTTCTGGTTGGGGTCTCACCTGGTGGCGTCACACAGAAATCAGCCTTCTCACTGACGGGGCGGCCCCACTCCACACCTGGTTTGTACACCACATAACCACAATGCTCAGCTTGAGAATCCTTTAGGTCCACCTCAAAGTGACCGGTCGTGGTTTCCATCTCCTGTGCAGCCACAACAAACTGATCTTAGACAAAACGAAGCAAAATCAAATCAAACCCAATCGTAGATGCAGATTGTGATGGTACCTGGACGGCTCTCTGTGGTTCAGTGATAATTAAACTGTAAAACGTTGGGATTTCAGAGGCGCCAATTTTGATTTTCTTGATAATGTCTGAGACGGACGCATTGTTTCGGCCCAGAGGAGTTTTGACGTCCACATGTAAGGTCCTCTTTTTCACCACAAGAGACACCAACGGAGCGCCCAAAACCGCTGTGAGGAAAAAACAAAAGAAAAGATGTCATGGCATGGCCTTTATATCCTCTTTATTAGTCCATTTCTGGGTCTGGACAGAAGAGAAGATGGCTATTGCTTTGACAAAGATACGGCCTTAGCTTCAGTCAATGTGGGGTTAAGTGTCTTGCCCAGGGACACATCGAATGGCAGACTTTAGTGGGAGCAGATGGTATGGGTTGTTAGGGGATCGAACCCACGACCATTAGGTTCAGAGACCAATGCTCCACCAAATGAGACATTATTACCCCCAAAAGCAAAAGCAAATGTATAGTTTAATAATAGACGTCTTATATTGACCTTGTGCTATGGGTGCTCCCTTGTGATTATCTCACCAAGCGTTTCAAAACATTACATTCCGACAACAAAATCAATACTTTTTTTTCCGATTAGAAGGAAGGTCATTGAGCTGCTTTGTTTAGAGTTAAAAATGCAATGTGAGACAAGTTTACGTTCAAGTTTAGTAAGTTAAGTAGATTATTATCTGTTAAAAGCCATTAAAAGTAAAACAATCAATTTAAAAATAGTGAAATACCAGATACAATTATGTTAAGTAAAAAATTTGTAAAATCCCTAGCTTTAGCATAAAAAAGAAGCAAATATAAAAGCATTTTTAAAGAAGCTAGTATAAAATCTCTAGCTTTAGCATATTAAGAAGAAATAAGAGATCTATGGTATACTTAATGCTAGATGTACCCAAAAAGAAAAAAATATGTACTTTTGGCTACAGGCTTGAATCTTTTGGTCTGGATGTAGTCCGAGCCTTGGACCTGGACCTTGGCTCTGTAGTCAACGTCGTAGACCGGGGGGGTTTCTTCGGTCAAGTCACAGAAGAGCTCTGTGATGTTCTGACACTCAGCTTTCTTCTTGAACTCCTCGCCATCCGTGTCACTGCAGGAAGGATCACAGGGTTAGGGTTTTTTTTTGCAATTTGTGGCTTAGACTATGGTTCTTTTGCAGTCATGTGACCAACGCACATCTGGGCGCCATACTGAGGGGATAGCAGCGGTCATTTCTCAGCAAAATGGATATTCAAAATAAGAACAAGGAGAAGGCTTACAGGGAGAAACTCAACAAGGACGCCAACGACCGGTATCTCACTAAGCATACATCTATTAGCAACGCAGGGTTAGTTAGCATATGAGTTAGCTGCTAAAACAACTGGCCCAGCACTATTTCCACCAACTACAAATATGAACATTGTTGGTTTTCTTGTCAATGGTGTCAGTGCAAATACATTCAAAGAGTTCATAAAAGACAAATCCCTGGAGGCTCATGGACTTTTTACGAATGTATAAATGATGAAGGCTTTCGATAAAGTAAGAATTATTGCTGTTTACATCAAAAGAGTTAAATTTTCTCAAGAAGTACATTCTCTGCGGCCCTCGTTTCACTAAATGTTTATGTCAAGCTTCAGTTCGTGGTTGACTGTTGTCCAACTTGTTATTGTCTGTTCATATTTCCCTGAATATAACAGTCTCCTCTTTCTAAAGGAACCATAGTTTTACTGATTAACCGATAGTTGGAGGTCACCATGAGTAGAATTCTGTTGTCAAATAGTTTCCGAAGACAGAAAAGTCAACGTCTCCAGTGGTCTGAAGGTCCAGCTCTTCTTGCGTTCTTGGCCTAACTTTGGACAAGTCTTGTGGACCGACACTGATGCCATGCAGCTGGTGTAGTTGGTTCTACTCAGAGTGGCCTCTTTCTGTTGATTAATCCTACCTTGGGACAACAGTCAGGTCATAAATTAACAACAAATCACCAGGATATTACAACTATACTGGTGATTTAGTCACTTTAGCCCATACACACAACACACAAACACATACACAGGCTGTAAATGTACCTATACAAGACGCTGTACAAGATCTTCTCTCCTGGAGATCTCTGTTTAGCCGCGGTCCATTCTAGGACGTTGATGAAGTTCCTGGAGGTGAATAAGACCTTCTCCTTGCCACTGGTAACATACACTGTGGAGACATGGGAGTAACATACACTGTGTGAGTAACATACACTGTGTGAGTAACATACGCTGTGGAGACATGGGAGTAACATACACTGTGGAGACATGGGAGAAACATACACTGTGGGAGTAACATACGCTGTGGAGACATGGGAGTAACATACACTGTGGAGACATGGGAGAAACATACACTGTGTGAGTAACATACACTGTGTGAGTAACATAAGCTGTGGAGACATGGGAGTAACATACACTGTGGAGACATGGGAGTAACATACACTGTGGAGACATGGGAGTAACGTACACTGTGGAGACATGGGAGTAACATACACTGTGGGGACATGGGTGTAACATACACTGTGGAGACATGGGAGTAACATACACTGTGGGGACATGGGAGTGACATACACTGTGGAGACATGGGAGTGACATACACTGTGGAGACATGGGAGTAACATACACTGTGGAGACATGGGAGTAACATACACTGTGGGGACATGGGATTAACATACACTGTGGGGACATGGGAGTAACATACACTGTGGGGACATGGGAGTGACATACACTGTGGAGACATGGGAGTAACATACACTGTGGAGACATGGGAGTAACATACACTGTGGGGATATGGGAGTAACATACACTGTGAAGACATGGGAGTAACATACACTGTGAGGACATGGGAGTAACATACACTGTGGGGACATGGGAGTAACATACACTGTGGAGACTTGGGAGTAACATACACTGTGGGGACATGGGAGTAACATATACTGTGGGGACATGGGAGTAGCATACACTGTGGGGACATGGGAGTAACATACACTCTGGGGACATGGGAGTAACATACACTGTGGAGACATGGGAGTAACATACACTGTGGGGATATGGGAGTAACATACACTGTGAAGACATGGGAGTAACATACACTGTGAGGACATGGGAGTAACATACACTGTGGAGACTTGGGAGTAACATACACTGTGGGGACATGGGAGTAACATATACTGTGGGGACATGGGAGTAGCATACACTGTGGGGACATGGGAGTAACATACACTCTGGGGACATGGGAGTAACATACACTGTGGAGACATGATAGTAACATACACTGTGATCTATTGTGTTAGAATCTAAAGCAAAAATGTAGCGCATGCATTGAATAGGCTCATTTTTCACATTTCTTTTGTATGGTTTTGTGTGAGGTTCAGGCCAGACTGGTTTGTCAATACCAGGAGACACGTTAATCTGTCCCCTGGAATTTGTTTATTTCATTTACACAGACGACTCGATGTGAAGGACCGCAATCTTTACTGAATCTGAAAAGCTAGCTAACCACATGTGGCCGTTCAGAATCGGTGAGAGGCAGTGGTTGGTAGTTGTGATTCACAACGAGAAGGTCCTGGGTTTGACTTCACCTCCAGGACCTTTCTGTGTGGGGTTTGTATGTTCTTCCTGTGTCTGAGTCGGTTTCCTCCTGGTACTCCGGTTTACCCTACCACTAAAAACGTGTACAATATGAGAGGGCTGAATGAATGTGTGTTTATGAGTGTGATTGTGGGACTAAACAGCTACCATCTGGTGTATTTACAGTCATGAAGGTTTCCTGCCCCATCCAAATAAACAAATTAATACAAATACAAACAATTTAATACAAATTGGAGCATTGTAATTCTTTTCTTTTTGTCCTATGTCCACTGTATGGCATCCAGATCCTGCATCATGGGTTTAATAGTCCACTATAAAATGTGTTTAAATTTATATTTGATTCAGTTTTGGTTCAATCTACACAATAAACACATTTTGTTTTCAGAAAAATAAATCAGAAAATAACTGATGTCACATTAAAGTCACGTTAAAATACTTTCATAATGTAGAAAACTATTATGAGAAAAGAAAATCTCTTCTGTTGTTTTGGCCCCGGACCAAAAAGAGTTTGACACCACTGTCCCATATTATCAGAAGCTCCAGAGTTTACCATTGGCCTCTTGTCTACATCTCTTGATTACGGGTTGTTAGTTTGGACGGCCCTGTCTTGGTATGTTTTCAGTTGTGTATAATCTAACACATTTAACTTCCTCTGACCTCTCCGTTGTGTTCCTTGGACTTTGTGACACGCTTTAGTGACAGATATTCTCTTTACATCGTTAACAGCTGTAATTATTGAGATTACATTGACCTTGGACTCAATTAAGTCAACACTAGTCCATTCATAAATCATCAGGAAACTTTTATCTCAATACTTTTGCCCCACTTTTTAGTTACGTATTACAGCAATAAAAAATGAATCATTGAAACAGTTTGCTTTCTCTTCCCTATTGTCTATATATTTATATTTATGGATAAAACCAGACAACATGTGAAAAAGTTTAAGTTATGGATGCATTTTCAAGTATTTTAATTAAACACAGTCCCTGCTTCCTCTACGTTTTGCACTAGATGTTCTGTGGAATTCATTCAATATGTCAATTCAATTCAATTATCTTTATTGACAAATCCTTCACAAACGTCCACTGGACCAATCCCTATGATTTGTAACTACAGAGTAAAGCTGCATTACTACAGTTGTTGTGGTGTGTACTTTTAACTACTTTTACTTTGATATTTGTTATTTTTTAGCAATTATTTAATGGGGTTGATTGCCGGTCCTGCCTTAATGTGTTGCACCTGCGTCTCCCTGTGTGTGTGTGTTAAAACCCTGTGTCTGTGTGTGTGTTCAAACCCTGTGTGTGTTCAAACCTTGTGTATGTTCAAACCTTGTGTGTGTGTGTGTGTGTTAAAACCCTGTGTGTGTTTAAACCCTGTGTGTGTTAAACCCCTGTGTGCGTGTGTTAAAACCCTGTGTGCGTGTGTTAAAACCCTGTGTGTGTTCAAACCCTGTGTGTGTGTTTAAACCCTGTGTGTGTTAAAACCCTGTGTGCGTGTGTTAAAACCCTGTGTGTGTTAAACCCTGTGTGTGTTAAAACCCTGTGTGCGTGTGTTAAAACCCTGTGTGTGTTCAAACCCTGTGTGTGTTCAAACCCTGTGTGTGTGTGTTCAAACCCTGTGTGTGTTAAACCCTGTGTGTGTGTGTTCAAACCCTGTGTGTGTTAAAACCCTGTGTGTGTTAAAACCCTGTGTGTGTGTGTTCAAACCCTGTGTGTGTTCAAACCCTGTGTGTGTTAAAACCCTGTGTGTGTTAAAACCCTGTGTGTGTGTGTTCAAACCCTGTGTGTGTTCAAACCCTGTGTGTGTTAAAACTCTGTGCTCCTCCTGCATTTTGGGTCCTGTTTTCTCCACTACATACTCACTCTTATAAATACTCTGATCTACAATTATTTACTTTTTGAAATGTATTACTTTATTTATTTTAATCTTGTTTTGTTTATGGACTTGTCCGGTGCACACTGGGGACTTTTGCAAATGTAATCCAATGTGGTTTTACTGCAAATGGCAAATAAATGAATCTGAATCTAAATTATATGATCATGTATAACATTTATTTGGCAATTAAAAATGGAACCTCTTGTTATAGACTTTCTGTAGTTATAATGTAGCTCTAACCCTAACCATTTATGTTTTGCTCAATTTGTTCACGGTATCGCGACAAAATACCGCAACAATCGAGCAACTACAGCAGCCCATAAAAAGAACAGGAGTAGAATGAAAAAATAAAATTGTATAAATTCCCACGCCAAATGTACAAATTGGTTTATAAAGTCATTAACATTGGGATTTCTTTGCAATTGAAACATACTCTCAATATATTTCTAAGGACAGGAGTTGATAAATTGTGCTAAAAATGTATTTATTTTGTATAATGGATTTGTATTTGTAGAGAAAAGCTCAACCATCTTTGTCTGTAACTTTGTGTTTAATTCAATGTTTTTTTTTTTTCTATCACAGCAGCAGTCGTTGGAGGACTGTACAAAGTTGTCGATTCTCCAACAACAGAGCAGAGAATCCACAGTTAGAAATGAAATATTAACAAACACATAAGAGTCGTCCACAGGGAGCGGGACGGCCATAAATGTGGTGTGAACGTGTCGTCTCTGTCTAAAAAACTTCATACACAATTTAATTAATCACTTATACTTTATGCTAGCTTTTTTATTATGCTAAAGCTAGAGGTTTTATATTAGCTTCTTTATTAGGCTAAAGCTAGATTTTCTTTTCTTTTAGTACAGCGTTATCATTCACTTATCATTCATTCATCTTTTGCTCCTCTACAGGTCTGTAACTTGGTAATGCAACCCTGGAATTTCCCCCACTGTGGGACAAACTATAAAGTGCTTTTCATACAAAACAATGTAAATAACGACGTCAAACATCCAGCTTTGTAATAATATCTATAATGAAGTTTAAATGTCTCACCATAGCAGAGGAGGACCATCAGGCTCCACATATTCTCAGCACAGAATCATCCAAACGATTTCATCCAAAAAACAGACTCAAATAAATGGCATTAAAGGTGACGGTCTTGCTCCAGTGGTGGTTTTGTCTCTGTAGAGGTACATGGAGTGTGTATAGTCCGCGCTGTGGGAAGTGTGTGCGTGTGCTCAGGTGTACTTTGGAACACGTTATCTCAGTGTTTTCATGTCCACAGAAGCCCCGCCCACTGAGGCCCCGCCCACTTTGGCTCAGTCTACTTCCTTGTAGCTGCGTCGCTCTCCCGGGGCCAGGGCGCGATGACGTCACACGGTCTTTCAGGTTTGTACTGGTCCTAACTGTTTTACTGGAAGTTCACACGGAGAAAGTGAAAGTATGGAGGACAGGTGTGGAGTGACAGAGCCTCAGGGGCTGAAGGAGGAGAGTGGTGGATAAAAAGGTTAGATGAAAACTGGAGCAAGAAAGAAAAAATACCTTTGGTCACGCTTTAGTTTAGCCCTTGTCAGGAATGAAGCAGACAGAGACGGATCGTGGTGCGCCAAACTCTGGAAGTTTATTTAAGTTTCTCTCAAGTTCCAGTGGTTTCAATTGTTTCCTTCTCTCAGACAGAAGAAAGGCAGTACACAGTTTATATAGTCATTGACACGTCACATTGTGGCTGAGTGGATAGCACTCTCGCCTCTCAGCAAGAAGGTCCTGGGTTCGAATCCCGGTTGGACCAGGGCCTTTCTGAGTGGAGTTTGCATGTTCTCCCCGTGTCTGCGTAGGTTTCCTCCGGGTACTCCGGTTTCCCCTACCACTAAAAATATGTAAAATAGGTCTGGCATGTGCCTCCTGTACTGGCACCCCCCACTCCCAAAAATAACAATTGTAAACTGCTTTGAGACTCCGATGTGCAGTGAAAAGGCGGTATATAAATAAAGATTACTTACTACTTACATGGAAAGACGTACGTGTCACACAGAGACAGTCACATCATAGTCAAAATAATCAGAGTCCTTGTACAGTCCTGCACGTAGGCCATATTGCTATCTAATACTAACACTCACCCCTTTGATCACATAATCACATGTGATCACTCAATTTGATCAATCAATAAAGTGAGAAATTTTTTTTTATAAAAAAACAAAGAAAATGTATGCATTAAACTCATAATCATCCAAATCAATATCAGTGGATTTTATCCTCTATCCTGGGAAAAAAACAACACAAAAATAAACGTAAATAAATAAACAAAAAAACAAAAACAAACAAATATCAAAACAAACAAACACTATTGGACACACAAGAACTCAGCAGATTCAGTCAAAACACAGACAAAAACGAGCTCAGTCTCAATTTGAAGCTAATTTCACTTTTATTACTCTACTTTTATTCTAATGCTAATTGTTTACACTTATTTCACTGTATCACTTTTTAATCTTACACTGTGTACTTTACTTTCATTTACAAATATGTTTGCATATTTGCATTGAGCCATCTTCTTAAACATACATTTTAATCTAATAAATCTCTCTGTACTGTAGTTTACTTTCATTATTCACTATAGTTTAAAACTATTCTAATCTATTTAATATATGTTTGCATATTTGCTTTTATTGAGCCACATTAAATATCTCTATTTTTGAAAGCATCTATGGTTGATGCATTTATCTATTCCTCTATTTTCACTCTTTTGTGACTCTAAAGCTCGGTTGCAGCTTGAGTCAAGGCATATTTCTAGTTTGTGACTTCTGTCACTTTTAACATCTACTAAAACACTACAATACTCATACTTTATCATTTTAACACATTTTAACAGTTGCTCAGTCTCCCAGACTAAAAAGTCAAAGTTTTTGTCTGTCAGATGTCTGAATACTTTACATGTGTTGCATTTGGTCACAGTTGTGGTTCTGGTTGTAGCAATAGCATCGGCAATAGATGTTTTTCATTGGCTGGTTCTTGTTCTGCAAATGTCTGTGTCCAATAGATCATCAGATGTCCAGAAGCTAGGGACAAACAAAAACAAAAGAAAGAATCATGAGTATCTCATGAGTAGCACTCATCAATGTATGATTTTAAAAATATAAACATCACACCCAGTTTTTCTCTCAGGTCCTCAGGGTCCTCAGGTCCTCAGGTCCTCAGGGTCCTCAGGTCCTCAGGGTCCCCTGAGGGTGAGTCTCAGTCGTCATCAGGTCAGGTCATAGAGAGATGTCATCTTGGACATCAGTAGGGTCCAAGCCATGGTTTTGGTCTCTCCAGATGCACATCAGGATCTCCAGATACAGTCTTTTCACTTGAAGCACATCAGGTCATTTGCGATGCACTTCTGGTCAATGGTGCAGTGTCACAGTTCCTGTACACAGCTTGTTATGCAGTAGTTACACTCTATGGTTAGTCATTTTGATTCTACTTTAAAGACAATTTCTATTCATGCTGTTGCTAATGTCTCTCAGACAAAAGCAAGCGCAATGATTCAGTTTACTTCTCTAATTTGTTTTTATCAGAATCAATGTAATTACATCACACAGTACAAAATCAACAAATAAAAACCAAAAATGTCATGACAGGCCAATTAAGTCCATGACAATATAGAACTCAAATGAACATTTCTGGTCTCAAAAAATACTGATTCAAATAAAGATTCAAGTGATGGACAATTAAAAATATTTGTTTACATTGGAGTAAACTTTTAAAATGCTTTTTTCTCATGTTCTGCTTTTTTGTGTGTGTGTGTGTGTGTGTGTGTGTGTGTGTGTGTGTGTGTGTGTGTGTGTGTGTGTGTGTGTGTGTGTGTGTGTGTGTGTGTGTGTGTGTGTGTGTGTGGATGTATGTAGGGTGTGAATTTTGTGTCTCCAGACTCCTCGAACCACCTGTAGGTCTCAAAGGTCACACTGTGGTGATGTAAACAAGCAAAGTGGGCACACTTCCAGATTGCAAAACAACTCACCCACCACTGCCTACAGAAAACCCCACTTTGTGGCCCCGGTCTCACTGCCACCTACGACCATCGGTCTGTAGTGGGGGAGGGGCACACGGAGGTAGCTATGTCGCCTTTACGATCTGCGGCTGGTTGGATGGTGTCTACTCTGGGCCACTGTTCTGATCCCTCTGTGTCCACTCCCACAGTCCAGTGGCCCTGTACAGTGTGTGCCCTTGGTCCTTGAACACAACCTTATAGTCAAATTAAAAACAACAGATATCAGTTTGTGAATGAGATTGTTTTTTTCTCTAAAGTCTAAACAATTTTGGAGCGCTCTTGGCTTTCCAACATGCGCTATATAAATAAACTTACTTATTATCTTACTAATGATGACATTTTAAGACCAGAAACTTTCTTAATAAAAAACAAGACTCAAATCTCAAAAAACCTTCAAACTTTAAAATATGTATTATGTACTTTTGTACTGTGTGTTTAATTATCTATGCGTCCTTGGCAGTGGCGGCCGGCCAATAGAGGGCGCTAGGGCGCCGCCCCACCACTCACAACTTGCCATGTTACCTTGAATGAAACGTTAAAAAAAATAATAACATTAAAATATTTCGAAATTTATGTGTGTTTTATTTCAGATGTGGAAGAAATACTTTATAGTTTATGCTGAGTTGGATTGATTAAGCTCATCAGCGTTGTCTGTGTCGGACTGAGGACGTATTTCCGCCTCAGGGCGCAAAAGATTGCGCCCTGAGCCGTCTATGGACTCTCGTTAAAAGTTGTACATGCGCAGTAGCTCCTCTTCAATGCAAGAGATAAGACGATTTGGGGGCGCAGGAGAAGTGCGCCCTGAGGGGGCGGGATCGCCCGCGACCTGTACTGTCACTGTCTGTGACGTCCGTTTACAGTGATTGACAGGTCAAGCTGTGGGAGTTTGAGACGAACGTAAAGAGACGCAAAATGGAGAACGAGAAAAAGAAGAGAATAATTCAGTTAGATCACTCAAAACAATACCGTTTGAGAGAAGATCATACCAGGAGAAGGTTGAGGTTAAAGAGCTTGGACCTGATCAGCCAAATATTACCATTAGTCGGCAGTCCAGCGACAGGGGGAGACGGTACACTCGTCCTTTTTCCAGGACCTGGTTCAGCGCCAAATCTTGGCTAGCAGCATGTAGCGAGGCTAATGCTTTATTTTGCTTTCCATGCCTCTTGTTTCAAACATCAGGATCTGACCCAGCATGGATCAAGACAGGTATGACTGATCTGAAGCACTTTTTAGAAAAGGCAAAGAAGCATGAGCAGACTGGTATCCACATGCAAAATGCCCTCAAATTAGCTATGTTTGGGAAGATAAATATTTCATTCTCGTGTGAGGCTTCAGTCACAACAGTCAGTGTAAACTTACTTACTGCTGGTATATATTTAGTCATCATATTCATAGCCCCCCCAGTAGAAAATTCCACCAGCCGCCACTGGTCCTTGGGTTGGGTAAAAATGAAAATGAATTTGAAAAAACATTAAAACATAACTTGAAAACATGAAATCAAATCAAAAGATTAACTAAACTGGATTAATCACTTTATGGAATTTCCCTTTTACACTTGAACATTTATTCTACTAATTTAAAATAATTGCAGCCTTTTCAAATGAAGTCAATATGAATTGGAGCACATCTCAAAGCAGGGTCAGGTGCATAGTCAAAACAACAAAGTCACCGCTTGAATGTGAATTGGGTGAATTGCGTAGAGTTCAACTTAATAATATAATACTTTTACAGCTAATCCTAATTCCCTCTTTCTTTTTAGACGAAGTCTATGATCAATAATCACTTTTAACACAGATTCTATTTTAAATGTTTGAAAAACGGCTTTTGTAACTAACATGGAAATACATGAAAACATTCTCACAAACAGTTATGAAATATATCAGAGATACAATAATGGACTCAAAAAATAAGCAGAATATTTAAAAAGAAAAGCAAAGCTTTTTTGTACTAATCTTTGGATTTCAAAAAACATATAATATTCAAAACTTCTTTTTACTAAATGGTGTTAGTTAATGGTGTTAATTTAACGGAATAACTACTATGAAAAGCCAAAA